AACCCACCATCGGTATGTACTTGTATGTGCAGCAGCGTTGTTTGCCGTGAAACCTGTGAAAAAAGTGTATACTAATCCAACGTTTATCCGAAAAATACTCAAAAAATAACAACAGTAAATTGGCACGAAACAGGTAATAAACATAACAACTTTAAACTCATGATCTTTATTTGGACATTTAATGAATATTTACTTCATTTTGGGTATGTTTTAGTAGGGCATCTCCACGCCGTAGTTACAGGTCAAATTTTGGATACATTTCTTAACAAGCGCCAGATAGTCGACCCCTTGTGTTTGGCTCAGTCAGTAGAGCGTCCGCCTCACAACCGGGAGGTCGTGGGTTCGAACCCCGGCCGCGTCATACCAAAAGACGTTAAAAGATGGGAGTTGTTGCTACCTTGTTTGGCGTTCAACAATAAGGGATAGAACAACGTCGATCTGGCGCTGCTCAGTGGCTGCCGGGCTCACGATCAATTGGGCAAAAAGAATTTCCGTTTCGGTTTAATAAAATTTGGAGTGGACTATTAGGCTATTATTATTATATTATTATTATTATTATTATTATTATTGTTTTTCAATTTGGGCACTCCAGCAAAGCATAGAGAGTCATAGTAATTAGTATAGACCGAAAGCTTCAGTCGCTGAGATTGCATCTGGCTCCTCTGACCGCACAAATCGTCCCTATTTTCACGAAGTGACGGTAGTGAGGAAAATCGCCACGCAAGGTGAATGCAATTTTTTTTCACTACCGTCACTTCGTGAAAACAGCGACGAAATGTCAGTTAAATTAAAGAAATGACCCATATCAGACGGTTCTTTCTGTCTAAGAGAGTCAATGCCAATGTGTATTGACCTCTAGCACTGCACTAAATAATAGGCAGCATTTGAATGTCAGGAGTAACTTTTTTAGCAATCGGGTCATCCAGTCTTGGAACAGTTTACCAGTGTCTCTAGTAACTGCTACCAGCATCAACTCATTTAAACACAGCTTGGTTTCTTTTTGGTCAGACAATCACTTTGTTATAGCATAGTCCGACATCCACGCATGCACTGATTTATTGACCTTTACTAATGTACGTACACTTATAAACGGTTGGGAGGGGAGGACGTGTTTTCTGTGGGCTCCCGAACTTTCAGGCGTAACTCGGGTTAGGGCGCACAAAAAGAATTAAATTTATATCGGACTGTGGATAACAGCACTGGGAAGGCGATCTTGAGAAAATCTGGAATTTTATATCATCGATGGACCTAATTTTATAACAAAACATTCCAAAACTTTTTACTATTTATAGGACTTTATTTTCAAATTTGCGCTTCTTCGCGTATTCCTGGGTTTTTGTTTTGACTGATGACGCGGAGAAGCACCTGCAACGCAGTATCAATATACGCACAACAACAGTACAGTGCGCACTTTTCATCTCAGCCGAGTGTGACGTCATAATAGGAGACTGTAGATTGTCTACTTCTCTTTCAGCCAAGTGCACATATCCTTTTCTTGAATGTGAATGTTGATGTTTCGACTTTGTTGTTGTTCTTTGTTATATAATAATTGTTTGTAGATTGATCAGGTGGGTGGTACAGGCACAAAATTACTTATCATAGTTTTGTTTAAACTTGGATTGTTAGAGCTCTTGTGAGTAATGTGCCGTGGGATTCCATATCCTCAAATTGCTGGCAAACAGAGCAACAAGACAAAGCTCTGTAATTATTGTTAGGATTTCTGTCTAGTAGTGTCGTGTTAGTGCCATCGAACTGGATCAACTGAATCAATTGATTCATAATATATTATAATCAGTTACTCAATTTATTAATCAAATTAATTTGATATCGTAAGGTAATCCGATCTGCTCTTAATCTCCTTAATATTTTTGCACTTATTTCTAGAAAAAAATCTTTGTTCTCTACTATAATCAGTGTTTTTATCACAGCACTGAATAGACATACATGTAGAGTAAAGGAGGGGGTAATCGACTATCTCCAGTTTTCGGCCGATCCGTTGGATGCATGGTAAAAGCCCTTTAAAATACATTGCATGATAGCATTTCACATATCCCACATGTACCATACCATGCCAGAGTCACTGAAGAACCACATTTGCAATGGAAAATATATCCTAAAATATCATATTTTAGCGATGTAATCGGCAATCCTGTACCCGAATCTGAAAAATCAAGTATCTTACGCGTGTCTGTAAGACATATGGGTACCATAAAATGAGCTTTATTTCAAGTATTTTTCAGATTTAGAGCCCGATTTTGTGCGAGTCGCAAGCTCAAAAGTATCTCATTGCATGTATTAAATCAATGCAGCCGGACACCGCAACGCACACACACTATCTCTGTTTAATTCAGATTCCAAATCCGATCACAGCAGTGCTAGTTTTCGACTTGGCGAGCACCGGGGAGCTCCGGCGTGGGATACCTGCTCCGTGGAAACGCGCAGCGCGCATGCTTCCTATTGACTTTGTACATGCGGTCGAAAACTGCCTCGCTAGGTCGATAACTGGTTCCGAAACAGTGAAAATTGAAATGAATATTGTCATGGCAATTCGTGATTTTTTTCTGGGATTCTTTTTTTGTTTCAATAATAATAATATTTGCTTCATGATTTGAACAAGAAATGATAGGAAGTAAAGAGTCCAAAAATAGGATTTTGTCTTAAGTGGCCGAAAAACCCCAATAAAGTACTTAAATTTGGAGGGTTCAATTAGATTAGTATCATAAGAGTAATTGTAATCGCCTCATTCTTTTAATAAATGTTAATTGTTATTGCCATGCTTGGTTGTAACCACTGCCTTGTGGTTCAGGTTCTCTTTAGAAATAGAATAGGCCCGAGTCAAAACGGTTCCCCGCCCGTGGCGCCGAAACCCGGGTTTGGAAATTCGATTTTCAGGTTTTTCAAAATTAAATTTCCCACTGATATTTTGAAATAAAAAAAAATAAAAAAATATGCAATTCACAAACTTATAGACTAGTCTATTTCAATTCACCCAAGACTTTAGAAGGACATCGAGCGTCTCAGACATGATTTCTCTACTGGCCTGGAATACTCTTGAACAACGAAGAATCTTTGCCCAGTGTGGAATGTTCTTCAAAATCCACAAGAACATGGTGAACATCCCACTTACACCTGGTATTCACCCAGTCTTGCACCAGAGAGAGCTACGTGGACACACCACACACCCATTTATTTTTCACCAGCTTCCCTGCAGAGTGGACTGCTATAAGTACAGTTTTTTCCCCCGAGTTATTCCCATATGGAACAGACTCCCAGCAGTAGCTGTAACATCTAGCTCGATTGCTGGTTTTCAGACCTCCGCAGTCCCGTCCATCATAGCCATGATGGGCATGCCCACCAGGGCCCTGTAGGGAGGGAAGCCATGAAGCCGACATTAATGTTCTCACCAGATGCACCCTACTTCTTCGTACTCTCCAGTTTACATGTCTTCTTCTGCACAATGTCTGGCTTCTTTTACTTGCACGCATCACGCACTCACACACTACCACTATTCCACCCTGGACAGCTGTCAACGTAGCTTTTTGGGTGCAACAAATTCAAGATTCAAGATTCAAGATTCAATTTAAATAAATATGCTTTAGAAGTAAATGGATATCGTTTCAGTTGATGGTAGTCTATGTGCATTTTATCGCTCTAAAAATGAGGCTGCAAGAATGGAATGACGCTTCGTGGTACCGAGTGCGTTCGATCAGAAACGAATGTGGAAATATGACCCAATGAAGACTGAGCAAGTTAAGAAAGTCCCACACACAAGACTAAAATGTTGATAAGGTCATAAGGATATTACAATTAAATCGTAATACTAATAGTAATATTAATAAGCATTAATTTAATTGTCAAAATATATCCACAACATAATGGTTTAGACTAGACCTAGATCTAGACCTAGACCTACCCTTGATATTTTGATGAAGGAAAATAGTCTAATTTAAAGCTCTTTAATCATGTTGTAAATTGAAATAACATTTAGTCTAGAAGTGGGGTGCCTTTCGTTCGTTCTAAAATGTGGCAAGCCGAAATTGTCACTAAACTAAGTACGGTACCGATCTTGAGTGAAATCAGTTGAGTTTTGTCATTATTACAGTGGTGTTTGATATGTTGAGAATCACGTCAATACTCAATAGCACAGCTTTTATACACAGCCAGGACAATGCACCTAGTCTATATCAGAGATAGCCTAGATCTATGTGAATTTGGGTAGCTGTCGCAAAAGGAAATCTTCACGAATATAAAACTATGGTAACTCGATCCAGGAAGCTCCGACGCCGACGTCGACAACGAAGCTCCCGAATGTCACATGAATATGAGTGAGAATGCTACAATAAATTACCTGCGTCAACAATCTGCCCAGGCATAGATTCTAGACTCTAGTCTAGTACCTAGTAGTAAAACAGCTCAAAACCTGAAGAAATTATTTATGTTTACATGTTGTTGATCCTGGCCCGTCTGCTGAGCTACGCGAGCTATACGACTCGCGCACCGTCGCCCCAATGCCCGTCGCGCACTTTGGCTTGTTGTTGTTATTGGTGTCGGGTTTGTTTCATCTGAAAAGTCCACAGTTCTTCGAGTAATTCGTTGTAGTAGGAATTGCCCCCACCCTCCTTACAAGCTAGCTTATATAAGCTCCTAACACAAGAGGGCGCCATTGGTCTTCGTCCACTGGCAAGACAGACGGAGAACAAGACACTGACACTGATACACGACTTGAGAGTACATCCGAGCATAAAGATATCGGTAAGTGCCTTCTTTGTCTCTTTTGTAGTATTTAATACGTAATACATTGTAGTCTATAATCTGTAGGTCAGGGCGACTTCATCATCAATGATTAGACCCTATTATTAGATGGCGCTGTTTCTTTTTCTCTGGCTCACATATTTTTCTTTTCTTTTCTTTTGCATTCATGTAAGTATACCGGTACATTTTTTCGATAAAAATAATAACATAGGGGTCTAGGTCTAACTGTTAGGCCCTAAACTAGATTCTACAATGAATATTTTTCTGACAATGCAGTGGCGGGGGAGAAAAAAAAGAAGAGGGGACAAAAAGAAGAAGAGATATAAAAAGGGAGAAGAGAAAAGAAAGGAGAAGAGAAAAGAAAAGAGAAGAGAGAAAAGAAAAAAAAAAAAGAAAAGAGAGAGAGAGAGAGAGAACAAAAAAGAAGTAAAGAAAAAGAAAAGTCTCCCCGGGAGTAGCCTATAATCTAGGCGGAGTGCCAAGCTTTTTTCTTTGCTGCTAGACTAACCCTAAGCAGAACGTCAAGTAGGTAAGTGGAACCGAAGTAGTTAAGCCTAGACCTAATCGTCAAAATGAAATGCACCGGATATGCATCCTGTGAAATATGGAATTTGGCCGGTAGGTTTTGCCAAGTTGGTGTAGATCCCTAACGTTTCTTTACACAAAGCGTGAGCACTAAAGCGTATAGGCCTAAAAGGCTGTTCTGTCTCTAAAGAGAGAGCCGATAAATCGGTTCCACTTACCAACTTGACTGAAATAATCCGTTTAATGGTCCCTTTTTAGGAAATTATGGGTCAAAATCGAAATCCATGTCTTGCAAGATTTTCAACATGAACTTCGATTTTGACCCATAATTTCCTAAAATGGTAAAAAGGGACCATTAAACAGATTATTTCAGTCAAGTTGGTAAGTCGAACCGATTTATTATAGCCTAGATCTAGGCCTAATTTACAATATAACATGCACAAGGTAAAATGACATTTGGAGGGATTTTCGGGGCATAAAAATATGGCCATAATAAATGGCCATGGTGTTAGCAAGGGAATGCGTATATAGTCGGCTTCCGTCTCTAAAGAAAGAGCCGACCCTACCCAAATAAGAGGCTTAACGAACGAAAGAGACGGAAAATTCGGTCTACTTGTAGTCTAGTACATAATATACACCAACTGACTTAGACCGAATTTGTTTGTCTCTTTCGTTCGTTAGCCTCTGATTTGGGTAGGGTCGGCTCTCTCTTTAGAGACAGAACAGCCTTATACGCTTTAGTGCTCACGCTTTGTGTAAAGAAACGTTGCTCAGTTGGGAGTGGGGGGGGGGGCCCCAGCCCCCCCCCCCCCCCCCCCATGATGAAAATGGCGGGAGGTGATTTTACGCACACTTTCCACTTTGGCCTTAGTGCCCCTTAGGATAGATTTGTGCCCATTTCAGTGGATTTGTGCCCTATCAAAAAGTGGCCTTGACCTAAATTTGATGTAATTCGAGGCCTGCACTAGAGTGGGTTGAAGCGCACAGTCAATATTACGCAGATATATATTATAGGCCTAGGCCTAGATCTTAGGCCTAGGCCTAAAAATAAAAAGTAGCTTGTCTGCATGCTAGACGGTGCCATTCCTCAATGCCACTTTATTGAAGGCATCGAGTGAGACAAACTCTCTAGTCTTGGGTCTTTCTTCAAAGAGTTCCAATTCTTTGCTGGTGCGGTGAAGGAGGAGGAAGAGTACACTTGGGAGTAGACCAAAAGCTTCAGTCTCTCTAATCGTCGGTTGTTCCACTGAGACTACGTCTGGCTCCACTAGACCTCCGATTATAGAGACTGAAGTTTGTCCTATCGGGACTGTACGGAACCAAAAAGCAGGACCGCGATGAATGAGATATTAGGGAGGCCAATGCTAAAATCTAACTTTTTAATTACTAATTTTTTTATTATAAAACAAAGATTAAAAGAAAGCATTTTCTTTCACTAAGACAACTCACCCATCTACCGACTCCAGAAGTTCCATAAAATAGGAGATATCCAGCGCTTTTCTATGTCTTTCCTTCTACGCCTGGCCGTACGTAAGAGCCTTGAAACAATCAATTTCATTACGTTGAGAATTAGACAGGCCCGAGGGAATAGGCTTGTCATTGCCCGGACAACAAGTCCAAAGCTTCGCGCGAAAGTACATTCATCATCACCGGCTAGCCTTGAATCGGTCGCACACACCGACACAGTACTACAGGCCAGGTACGGTAATTGCATGCAAGACGCAATCCTAAAATAGAGCCATGGTAGCAGCCATGGCATGGAGGGTCAAAACATAGAGAGAAAGCTTGAAAGCCACTCATTGCAAACTCCGAAATGAAAATAAAAGTAAAGTAAAAAACTAGAATTTAATTCGTCACGAGGACGAATAAGGTGGTCTGTATTCAAGTCTTATGATAGATTATAATATGTACTATATTGAAAAAGGTAGAAGTTATATAGACATGTAAACAATGATGATCATGATGATGATCATGATGATGATGATCTTGATAGTAATGGTGATGACGATGATGATGATCATGGTGATGTTGATGATCATCATCAACAGACCATGATGACATCTGATTGAAAAAATGAGGGGACATTTAGATAGCGTATAGTCTCAGCTACAAGATACTCAAAAATCGACAAAAATCGAGCTGAAATAACGGCGATATTGCTCGCAAAAGACATGAATGTAGAATCCAGATTGAGAAAAAGTCATCTCCCATAAGGATTACACGCAAAAAGTAATAGATCAAGTGATAATAGGGTAATAATTAAGTAAATATGGTTGTTTATTATATTATTTGCGATTCTATGAGTTTTAATATTCAAAGGAGATGGTACAGTGAAAGGTCAAAAAGAAAAAAAGTGAGAAAAAAAAATTGTTGGAGATGCCCGGACTCGAACCAGGGACCTCGAGGTCGGAAGTCAAGTGCGTTACCGATATACCAAAACATTTCCCATAGAGATTACACGTAAACGGAAGATGGAATTATCAAATCCCACTTTGCAAGTGAGATATGAGCATGATCCCGGCATCTGATCGAAAAATAAAGGGCACATTTGTGATAGCTTATTGTCTCAGCTACAACATACTCAAAGCTCAGCGAAAACAAAGCTAAAACGACGGAGATATTGCTCGCAAAAGACAGGATGTAGAATCCAGTTTTGAGAAAAAGTCATGTCCCATAGAGAATACACGCAAAATGTGAAAAATTGACATTCCACCTTTAATCGCAAAAATACGCAATGATACCTTTGCAAAATGAAAATTGTGGTTACTGCATTTGTAGAGAATTGTGTAAGCTAGATCATATCAAAATTTGGAAGGAAATTGATCAATATTTACAGAGATACAGTCAATTTTCAAAAATATGCTAACGTCATAATATGCAAATTGAAATTTTGAGTTCGGAGGCCATTATGATGACGTCATGAGTTAAGTGAGGGTCAAATGAGACATGAAATCATATCTTCGACTCACACTTTATCAAGATATGGAAAAAAAATTGGGGTAACCTTGCATGCTAAAGAGCTACAATGGATTTTGTAAAGGCATGTTTTTGCCCATGTATGCTATGTATTACAAAAGCTCGCACGCACGGAAATTATCTTAAACGGACGCTCATTCCGTTATTAATTGGCAGAAAAGGGTGAACAAGGTATCAAAATGCTTGAAAAAATGTGCCAAATATGATGACAGAGAAAATTTGGCGATTCTATGTTGGAAAATACCAGTACGCGCGAAAACGCGCGCGCATGCGCGTGCGAACTTTTTTTTGCGAAACGCTTAAAATGGCCTGAAACGTATGCAAAATGAATTTGAGACGATTTGGAGCATTTTTATTTTTTGCGCGCGCGCGCTGATGCGCGGACGTACGCATGCACGCGCGTTTTCTGACCTGAAATTGACCGGACGGATATTGACCTTAATCATGACAAATATGAATAAGAAATGCCTTTTCGTTATGAAGATATGGTCATGAGTTGAAAGTACCAAAAAAACACAAAATGGCGCCTGGATGACGTCATGAAAACTTGATGACCTTGAAAATGTTTCTGTCACGTCTCATGACAATGACCTATGACTGTGCCAAAATTGAATGAAATTGACTAGAACGAACTTGAGCTATCCTTGGCACAAAAAAGGGGGAGAAATAAATAAAAATAAATAATAATAATAATAAATAAAGAAGAAAGAAAATTCTGATGAAAACAATAGGTTATCTGTCAAAAACGACAGACCACCTAATAAATAAATAGGCCTACCTTAGTTTCGAGAGTATTCCATTACTATTTCCTCATGAGTAAAGATCAATCTGACACTGCATTATCAACGATCGCAATCGATAAGTCCAACTTGCAGCGAACACAATACAGACTGCATACGTAGACATGTATGTACTAACAGAGATATTTCTCTCCCTCTCTCTGACTCTCTCTCTCTCTCACTAATCATATCGTACACTAAAACACACACCTTCAAATCATGGCATTCATTCCACTTCTCAATTGAAGTATAGACTGCTCACGTAGATTTTTTTTTTTTTACTGAAATGTCTTTTTTAACACTTCTCATACATTACTGCACGACACTGGTATCTAGTGCTGAGAATAAGGTGCTATGTGTGAGACTACGTCAAATTTGTTTTGCGCGCGATGTGACCAAAGCTCATACATATTCATATTATGATGTCGCAAGACCTGTTTTTGGAGCTGGAACAATGACATCTCTGTTCACAGTTTTCCTTCTCAATTTGAGATGGCTGTAGCTATCGGCCTCAAACCAACGCAAGAATGACAGAAACATCGTACTCTATCTACCTTCGATTGTTCAGTTTGTAAAACCCTGTATTTAAAAAGATATAATCTTTTTTCTTTATATTTTCTAGTTGTTTAGAAGTGGCAATTGTGAACATCTGAAATGTTGATCTCTATCAAAAGTTCTTTACTCAAAACAGATCCCATATTTTTAAGGTGTAGACCTTCTGCCAATGAGAAGGCTTTTAGTGAGCAAACCTCTACGCCCTCTAGGATTTTCTTAGTCGGTGGTGCGTGCGCGTCATGTTCTTCTGCTACACAATTATTGGATTCAAATACGTCAAAATCTGCAAGATCATCAACAAATGGTGAAAGGCCGTTACAGATCCGTGATTATAGGTATGTTGTGAAATATATAATTGTATTTTCTTTTCTTATTTTCATCAATTTTTATTTTTACATCATTTTTTTCTCTCTGCTAATTTTTTGAAGTGGACGACGAGTGCACAAATCATAGGTGTAGAAGCCTTACGCCCGGGCATTGGCCTCCCTATTATTACCTGTTTCGTGTCAATTTTCTTGTCATTTTTTGAGTATTTTTCGGAAAAACATTGATATTAGTAGACTACACTTTTTCACAGGTTTCACAGCAAACTGCTGCACAATACAAGTGCATACCAATGGTGGGTTGTAGGTGGGCGTGCACATGTGTGAAGTTATATTTCTTTCCCTGTTCACATCTGTTAAATGTGGAAGAATTGTTGAAATTTAAAGAAGGAAATGACAGCAGAAACAAGAAGAAACAGATCAGGTACAGACTTTATATGTTTCAGGATCTTTGTAAGGAAATAAAAGCTGATTTTGATGATCTTGTGGATAACAAGGCCCTAGACCTCATTCTCACGCAGTTCGATGCTGGAGCTTAGAATCAAAACGGTGAATACTACAGCAAGAAAACAATGCATGCAGGCTTTGTAATATTTTCTTTTAAAAAGTGAGCTACTCATGAGGGATATAAATTAAAACAGATATAAAATGTCTATCTTGGCTCTAGCAAACTTCCTCAAGGCAAATTTATATCAAATTTACTATACCCTCGACAAGCCTCGGGTATAGTAAATTTGATATATATGTGTTCTCGTGAAAGTTACTATTTATGCCTCTTCATTATCTAGTCATAGTTTTTGCTAGGGTCTAGACTAGCCTTATGGGCTCTCTGGAACCGGCTCCCATACCACCGCATGGAGAGGCAGGTAAACAAAACCTAAAATGTGTCCCAAATCACACTTTCCCGCACCCGACCAATATTGGACAGTGGCCTGATGAATTTTATGGGCCTTTTACTCCTACTTACCTCCGGAATTTCAAAATCGGAGGTAAAAATAACGAAATAATAGCAAATTTCTTACCAGATCGATGGAGCTTGGGTAGAAGTCCACATGTACCATGCGAATCGCCTTTTTACATTACAATGGCGCTGACCTCTGACTTGTGTTAGAGCTGTTTCCGTTGAATGTGCTGTATATAGATGAAATGCATGCAGTGCGACACTGGGATGTTCTGATGGTTGTGATGTGGGATGCTAAATATTAGCGTGAGGTATACCAGTTGAGATCGCATGTCATGGTGATCTCAACTGCACACTAGCACTACGGCTGCGACGTGTAGTCGATTGCTCGAGTACCCGCACGGTTGACAACTACTCTGGTACGATTTCTCGTACCTGAATATTCGGCCGCAAAAAAAATAAAATAAAAATCTGTCCAGGCCGACGCTTAGCCATGCCTGGGTGAGCCGCGGCCGCTAGCATGGTGCCGTTGGTAAAAATGTTTCCCAACTCAAGCACTGTCAAACTCACCACTCAGAAACTGGGACCAAATGTCTGGATTTCTGTTTGGTCTTGTAGGAAAATTATTCTACCATCTTTGGTTTTTTAAAACAGCATTATTTACTGTTATTATTATTATTAAATCTGCAAGTCGAAGTAAAATTGAATGCGTTTCAGCAACAGAACTGGAATACTGCTCCAAAGGTATGGTGGTGGCAAAAAACAAAAACAAAAAAAAATTCAAAAAAATTCAAAAAAAAATTTTAAAAATAAAAAAACATGGCGTCCGAATATCCAAGTATTCGCTTGTAAGCCTGAGAGTGTACTCGGGTACATCATTACACTGTTGTGCACAACCTTAGCTAGCACGCTAACATTTAGCATCCCACATCACATAGCGTGCGAGCGTGCGGTTGAGATCGCCATGACGTGTGATCTCAACTGGTATACCGCACGCTGCTACTACGGTTTGCGGAGCTATATTAAAAAGCATACTTATTGTAAATCGTTGCCTTGTAATAAACCTTCTTTCTTGTTGTGTAAAGATACCGGATGAAGATTATTATGGGGGACTACATCCACCAGAGATCCCACTCGACTCCTAAGGGTAACAGAGGTCAAAGTTCAGATGGCCAGGGAGATCATGGCAAACACGCTACCACATCCCTGTCCCTAGACGAGACTGGTGAATCGACACGTTCCCTTCTCTCCATCCTATCCCATAGCAGCATCAAGGATTTACCAGATGTGTTGGGAAACCAATCAGAAGATGATGAAGACATATCCACTTCTTCATCATCATCATCATCCAAACTAAGGTAGACCTCTAATACCTAATGTTGTCTGTTGAGAGCCAAAAGGAACCTAATGTAACTCGCATACTTTGACTTTAACTGCTTAACAAAATATGAAATAATAAATACAATGTACTTTGAAAATTGAATATCTTATTTATATAATAATTTATGCTTGGGCCTCATTTCAAGCCAATAGTGGACTTAATTTCTGAGATTTTCATGATTTCTTTTTATAAATCGTAAAAAAATGTGTTCTAAGCTCAATATGTGCATAATTTAAACAAAATTATGCCAGAACCAGTAAACCAAATCAAATCAAATCTCTGCTCGCAACTGACATTTTCTTTTTTCTCTTTTAAAATCTTGGAATGTATTCCATGAACTTGTAGCTCACGGTCCTCTATTGTTAGATCACAGACCTCAACTACAAGGTCACGATCGAGGTCTTCATCGACCTCTCGCTCAAAGTCTCAGATGGAGTGTTGCAGCAATTCGTCCAGGTACTCCCTGCCAAAGACCAGTGACTCCCATTCAACATCCACCTCTCAAACGACATCCAACAAAGTCCCGCAGTTGACCCCGTGGGAGAAATGGCTGATCGAGAAGACTAAACAAGAGAGAAAGAGAGTGAAAGAAAAGGTAATGCTGTTACTAAACGGGATCCCCCAAGTTCTTGCGGACAAAAGAGAGAGGGTGTGGGTCCACAAAACTGCAAATGGTGGTGTATGAGCTGGCATATCCCACTAACTTTTGGGAACCCAAGAAGAAATAAATGTTATGAAACTTACAGTTCGTCTATAGGGCTCTTGGCAGTCCCATCAAAGTTTTTAAAATTGGCTGGATAGTGATTCTTTACAATTTTGATATATTTGGATGCCCCTGTGGATGCATTATAAGCACTAGAAAATTTAGCCCCTAAAACACTTCTGGTTTCGAGAAAAATTGAATATCAAAATTTACCGGTGCGCCTGGTAAATTTTGATAATTTCAGATACCGGTAGCGCCTAAGGCCATACAATGGTAGCTGCGACCATGAAAATCTAAGAATATGCAGTTGTGATATATAATTTCCAATCTATAGCCAATCAGTCCATTTTAGTCAAGAAATATTGTTTAATGGCTAAATTAATATATTGACCTTAAGAAGGAGCTTTACAACATAAAGAGTTTATTATTTACGATTTCATCACTTTAGACTCGATTTCAACCATGATAACGATCTCTAAATATTGTAGGATCGCATATGCTTCCATTATCCTCAATTGAACCAAATTCATGACCCATACCAAAACTTTCTATTAACTTTAACCCTATCTAGCCCTGGGAATGCTTCTAAGCCTCCCCCCCTTTGTTTTTCGCGAAAATTTGCATGCATGCAAGTGAAATGTATAGATTACTATGGTAATATACATTTTTTGAAAATTCACTCATTTGCATATTAATGGTAATTCATGCAATTAAGGTAATAAAATTCACTTTTTTACCCATAAATCATATATTCTTCATATATTTAAACATAAATTTTCACTACCGGCACATATTCTTTAGACCATTGGGGATAGTAATTTTTTTTTTTTTTGGTGTGCGCCTCCATAGGTAGCCTCTCTCATTTTAGGGCTCTGATTGTGTTGCTATTTTAGTTAAGTTTTTGCTGCAATTTGGCAATTTTGTTGTATACATTGTATTCTGTGTGTGTCAAGGATCTTGCTAGACATTTTTAAATCAATATTTTGGTAAGTTAGCTCCATACTTATTACTTAGAAGTTTAATTTTTGTATCTCTGATCTTAAAGGTAAAGACCAGTATTGGAAACGCCCCAATTTCAAAAAATGAAATGGAAGCTCTCATTACCAATCATGTGAAAGAATATGTTTTGACTAATACATGATGATAACAAATTTGCCGGTAAACCGCCTACTAATTCCTATATTTGGTAAATTTGTTTCTCTCATGGTCTGTGAGAGATATAGGGTAGTCCCATATACACCTTTCTGTGTATAGTGCTTGTAACTTTACGAAGAATGGGCCAAATTTCTTATCATTTTGATGATTCCAGAACCTTGCAGATGCTAGATGCTAGATGATCAACCTTTTCTGATCGATTCCACAACGTTTTTTTCACAATGCAATCACATGACCATATAAACTGGTCTTTACCTTTAATACTGAACCTTGCTCTGCACTGCCATTTTCAGTGCTCAGTACTGTACATTTACTTTGTACACTTTACTTTGTATAATTACTTTGTATTTACTTTCAATACTTTGTTATATCAGTTCACTTTGTATGTTTCAACGGCAGTCATTAGTAGTACCTCCACATCAATGGAGGGGTTTAAAATCTGGCATCTCTTCTTTTGTGTACCCCTGATTGTATTTCTTTTGAATGTCAACCATGTATTAATTCTGCCACCTGATGTGCTTGGAATGCTTGTAGCTCCAAATCAAAGGTTACTCTTTCCTGTATACAGACATGTCAAATACTGTAGTAAACCTATTGCATATTATAACAATACTAGTGCCTGTTTCCAGTTAGCCATCTTGTTATCGGCTGATATCCAAATGAACCCAGGCCCATGTTACAAAGTTGATGTATCTCAATATGCTAATGATTATTACAATAGTTCACAATCAAATCGTATTCATTACATTGACCATCAGATTAATATGAAGCCCAGTCACCTGCTTCCACAGACTGTGTGGAGAAGGGTATGTGATCTTGGGATTTGCCGGCGGCGTCGTACGCACCGAGGACGCAGGCGAAGGGTCCCAAGGTCACAGTCCCTTAGTGAGACTTCCAGTGGGTCTCAGTTTGGTTTATGGAATGCAAGATCCTTGAATAATAAATCTGATGTGGTGTCTTCTCTGATCATAGATAATAATATTTATGTGTTAGTCATTACCGAGTCGTGGCTTTCTGGTGACCATAGAGATGAGCCTACCCTAGCCGAGTTGAAATTTTCCCTTCCTAATTTTGATATAATCAATCATCCAAGAAAGTCTTCTAGAGGAGGTGGTATTTGTGTCCTCTATAGGTCTACTGCATCCTGTATTGTCAATGACAGTTACAATTGTCTGTCATTTGAATTGTTGGACCTCACGATCCATCTTACTTCTTCATCTACTGTTAGAGTTTATTGTATCTACCGCCCACCCCAATCCTCACGGCACACCTTTACTAAAAATGATTTCCTTGAAGAGTTTTTAACTCTTCTTGAGAGTGCTGCTGTAGATAATCACCCTCCTATCCTTCTTGGCGACTTTAATATACACGTAGATGATTCTTCTGATAGGTTTGCTCAATCTTTTCTTAATGCTATAGAAGCCCTTGGGTTCCAACAGCATGTCCAGGGTCCCACGCACCACGCAGGCCATACACTCGATCTAGTTCTCAGTAGAAAATCTGAAGATATTATTTCCCACATTACTCTTTTGTCATCTCTCCCATCTGATCACTCTGCCATCCTTTCCACCATTAATCTCAAAGGGCCTAAAAACCCTAAAAGGAAGGTGAGCTTCAGAAAGCTTCGCAACATCGACTCTAACTTCTTTCGTCAGGACATCTAACAGGAATTGACATCTTCTCCGTGTCCTTCTTGTCCTTCTGAAGCAGTTTCATTCTATAATGACAGTTTGGTTAAACTGATGGACAAGCATGCCCCTCTGAAAACTGTGACTGTTACTATCAGACCTAATACCCCTTGGTTCTCTGATGAGATTAGGGAGGCCAGGCGACATAGGCGTCGCGCTGAACGTCGCATGTTAAAGTCAGGCCTGCAGATTGACAAGGAGCTGTATCGTCAAGAATGTGAGTCATACTACATTCACATCACCTAAATCGCAATACCTGAGGAAAGAGATTGCCAATGCTGACTCTAAACAGCTGTTTAACATCGTGAAGAAACTCTCATCTCCTATTCAGTCTTCCATTTATCCCGAACACTTCTCCAATTCTGAACTTGCCAATCAGTTCAGTGAATACTTCAAGAAGAAAATCAGTGATATTGTGTATTCTTTTGCACCTAATGTTTATTATGTGCAGTCACACGTCCAACCTCCTGAGAACCCGCTAAATTGTAGCCCGAGTGGGTTTATGCCAGTGACTGAAGTCCAGCTTCGACGTCTAATCAAGTCTACTCCACCGAAATCTTGCAGTCTGGATCCTATTCCAACTTGGCTGCTCAAAGATTGCCTTGATGAACTGCTTCCGGTCCTGACCTACATCATCAATGCATCATTGTCATCAGGTGTGGTTCCTCCGACATTCAAAACGTCACTCGTTGTCCCTCTGTTGAAAAAGCCTAACCTAGACTCAAATGTCCTTGGCAATTACCGCCCAATTGCCAATTTGCCATTTGTGAGCAAGGTCTTGGAAAGAATCGTGGCTAACCAACTCATGTATTACGTGGACAGTCACCATCTGCTCCCCGGAAACCAGTCCGCATACCGCAGCCTCCACTCAACAGAAACTGCATTGTTGAAAGTACTCAACGATCTACTCCTTGCTGTTGACAAGGGTGATGAGGCCGTTCTACTTCTTTTGGACTATTCCGCAGTGTTTGACACGCTTGACCACACCGTGCTGCTACATCGTCTTGAAAATGACTACTCCATCTCAGGGACTGCCCTGCAATGGATCAAGTCATATCTACAAGACCGTACACAGAAGATAATAATCAACGGGACCTGCTCAGCTCCACTTGCTTTCCACTGCGGAGTTTCTCAAGGCTCCGTCGTCGGCCCTTTGCTGTTTCTTCTTTACACTGGTCCTCTCGCAAGAACCATCACTCGTCATCAGGGTGTGAACTACGCTATGTATGCAGATGACACTCAAATTTATTTAACTATGTCACCTCGTGGTAAAGTCGATGCTGTTAATTCCCTAAAAGATTGTCTTCTTTTAGACATCAAGGTCTGGTCAGCCAATAACAGACTCCGTCTTAATGAAAAAAGTCAGAACTGATCCATTTTTCCTCACAGTTCAGGAGCACAGTGCCTCTATAAGTTCTGACAACCGACGAGGGTGTACTAAAGACCTCTGAATATGTTAGAGACCTGGGCATCACATTGGACAAAGACCTTACTCTTCAAAAGCACATCAAAAACGTCTGCAAATCTGCATCTTGGGGCATCTACAAAATTGGAAAGATCAGGCGACTGTTTGACAAAGCCTCCACTGAAAGACTTGTCCACGCCTTCGTCTCTTCCCATCTGGACTATTGCAACTCCCTCCTTGCCGGCCTCCCAATTTCTCATATATCTCCTCTCCAGCGCATCCAAAATTCAGCAGCTAGATTGATCACATTAAGTAGGAAATATGACCATATATCACCCGTTCTTCGCTCACTTCATTGGCTACCGGTCCATTCTCGCATTACTTTCAAAATCCTACTTCTTTTGTACAAAATAACACATAACCTTGCCCCTAAATATCTTCTTGACCTAGTCTCCCTTCGATCCTCCTCTTCTGCCAGATCCCTCCGTTCATCTTCCTCCATGCAATTAATTCACGGCCCACGAACAAAAACCTGTTATGGTGACCGTGCCTTTTCATCGATTGCCCCCGCCCTCTGGAAAAAACTCCCACCCCATATTCAAAATGCCCCATCCATCCAATCATTCAAAACCCTTCTCAAAACCCACCTTTTTAATCAGTTATAGTTTACTGGAGGCGCACACAAGTAGTTAACTCCATTCAACTCAATTGTATTGTATTGCATTGTATTAGTAATATTTCATTTAACTTTGTTGCTTTTAAGGTATTAAACATGTTGAATAATTAAAAGTTAGACAGTACCACCTGTGTGCTTAGAAACATCTGTATAAAGCGCCCTATAAATGTAATTATTATTATTATTATTATTAATATCAAAAGAAAATAGGAATAGCCAGGTTATTCCTTATGTATTTCCTTTTTTTTTAAATTTATGTATTTTATTGTTTTTGTTGTTTTATTTTAATTCTAACTTGATGCGCAAGACTCGAAAGAAAAGTCGGAAAATTTTAGCACAAGATTCTTTAGCGTTGAAAAATAATCGTAAATCATATATTCTTCATATTTAAACATTAATATTCACCACCGGTACATATATTCTTTAGACCATTAGGGATAGTAATATCAAAAGAAAATTGGAATAGCCAGGTTATTCCTTATGTATTTCCTTGTTTTTTTAAATTTTATATATTTTATTGTTTTTGTTTTATTTTAATTCTAACTTGATGCGCAAGACTCAAAAGAAAAGTCGTAAAATTTCAGCACAAGATTCTTTAGCGGTGAAAAATAATCACAAACAAATGTAGGGGGGGGGGGGGGGGCTTCCAGCATTTGCCACATATTGTTTTGCTAACTTCATTTTGTTTAAAGCGTGGTATTTGATGTAAAATATTATTTAAGTTGGTGCTAGAATTTCTAGCACCCTTTATGACCACAAATTGAGAGTATTATCTTTACCTAAGCTGTTGGTGAGGTGTCGTGATCCTTATTTTTTCACCATATTCTGAATATTCTCTCCCCCCCCCCCCTCTCTCTCCCCCTCTCCCTTTTCCATCTCTCTCTCTCTCCTTTCTCTTCTTCCCCCTTTCTCTCTCACTCTCTTCTCTCTCTCTCTCTCTCTCTCTCTCCCTCTCTTCCTCCTTCCCCTACTCTCCTCCCTTTCTCTCCCTTTCTCTCCCTTTTCTGTCACTCTGTCTCTCTATCTTTCTCTCTCTCTCTCTCTCTCTCTCCAGCCTCTCCTACCCCTTCCCCCTCTCTCACTCTCCCTCTCTCTCTTACTCTCCCTCTCTCTCTCTCCCTCTCTCTCTTACTCTCCCTCTCCTTCCTCCCCCTTTCTCACTCTCACTTTCTCACTCTCACTCTCTTCTCTTCTTTTCTCTCTTTATCGAGTATAGGCCAAGCTGCAGAGGGAGAAACAGCTGAAGATTGCAGAAGAGAAGAAGATGAAGGTGGAGAAAGCTAAGGTCATTGAGGTCAAGGTCAACATGTGGATTGAGGAAAGAACAACTAAGGAGCAAGAATCGAGAAAAGCCAACTGGAGGCTAGAGAAGACAAAGAAACAACTTGAAGCAGAAGAGAATAGAAGAGTACAGGAGAAAGCAAAGGTGAGTGTTAAAGGGGAAGTCCACCCTGATATTAAGTTGCTTTTAATAAAAGCAGGAAATTGAGAGAAAAAGGTCAGTGAAAGTTTGAGCAAAAACCGACTAGAAATAAGAAAGTTATGAATTTTCAAAGTTGTCATCATTGAAACACAAATTGGCAACACTGTGACATTTCTTGCAAGCTCCTCTCCAATTTTATAAACTTTCGTTTTCTTACTGATTGGTAAGGGAAAAGATGATTCATACAGGGGTTGTATAAAAACATCTTCGAAATAATTATATTTAGGGTGAACGTATCATTGCAAATTTTTTTACTGACAGGTGGTTATCAGCTCTAAATTGACATAGGCAAAAGGAACCAACTGTCACTGCGCATAGGGACTATCATGGTGTTAGTGATATGCGCTATACAAATAACGTTCATTATTATTATTATTACTGCTTAGGCATTGTTTGCTACATAGAGGGCGTAAGTAGCTATGAGTAGTGCAGTGGGGCTTTACGGAAAGTATAGATTTTTGAAGTTTTTAAGTACAGGGCAAATAGCAGGGGAGCTTGCAAATTTCAATGCAAAATATGTCATAGTATTGGCTGTGTTGCCAATTTGTTTTTAACTGAGTGCAACTTCAAAAATAAATATCTTTCTCATTTCTAATCAAAATTTGATCAAATCAAGAGACCAACCTTTGTCATCTCCCATTGAAAGATGTCACTTAAAATGAACCTTTGTGATTGTATTATCATTCTTTGTAGTCTTTAAAATAGTGTTGTTTAAATCTGTGAGATTCTGTTTTCTGCAATTGCCAGAATAAGAAATCACCTTTCATCTTCCCTTATTTTGAAGGAGAACTATGGAGAATGGAGGAGCAAGAAGAAGGCTGAAAAAGAGATGAAGGAGAAGAAGGAGAAGGAAGAACAAAGTGCTGAAGAAGAAGCCGAAAGGAGGAGGAAAGAAGAGGCGGAAGATGCATACCTGAAGTGGAAAGAAGAGGCCAAGACGAGACCATTTCCCCTAGCTACTCGATTTGGCTATCCTCAGGGCTCTGTCAAAGGTAAACCAGTCAAAGTTACTGCCTTATGCACCATTCACAAACCCAACTTAAAGGAGCATTATATAAGTGTGTGAATGGGACCACATCAAAACAATGCACATCACTTTTGTGCTGCTATACAATACAAATAATTGCCACAGCATAATCGTTTATATTATAATTTGAGTAAGGAAATCCTTTGATATTTAAAACTTTTAGGGTTTTGCACGCCTCGGGACGAAAAAATTCCAAGTATCATTCATTCTGATTGCTGATCATTCTAAAGGTTTTCCACTTTTTAAATAAGTTGTTTGAAATCTCTAAATGAAATATGAAAACTCAAAGTAGTACCTGAAAGAGGATGGCTCTGGCATGGCAACAGATATTGCATGCCATTCCAGCCGCGATTTAGAGATTGCATATATGCGCTGCCGATCGTAGCACTACCCGCACACGCACGATTTTCAATAGAATTATGACGGTGGTAGCTCAGGAACCGGACGGGGAGCTGAGAGGGCCTAGGCCTAGATGGACAAATCTAGCTCTTTCATGGTCTCTTTGACATTAGATGTCATTAGATGTCAGTAATAATGTCAAAGAGACCATGACTGTTTTACAATTGCAAATAATGCATTTGCCATTCAAAAATAAAAATGGATGGAATATGATACTTATAATTGAATATCAAACAGTATTATTTCATAAACCATAATCAATGCATTCAGTCATGTGCTGTTTCACAACAATGTACTGGCAGTCAGGCACACACAATGTCTTGTGACTTTTGAATCAGGCCATTTTGTCTTTAATCTGTGCTCATTCAGCCATACAGTGATGAATATCTCTAATTTGCACACAAAATGTACATAACAACTGCACCAATAGTGTGGTAAGATGACATTGTGATACATTTAAGGTACTATGCCACATTTGCAGGCCAAACCAAATGAAATGGTTAAATTTCAACAGCATTTTAAAGATAATACTTATTAAGAACTTCCCTTCAGTGATTGCTGTTTTATTAGGTGTAATCTATTGCCTCACTCTAAACCCTGCGCATGGTTTTATTTTGATAACAAATGCAGCGATACAAAAATAAAGGAATCTGTCGCTTGTAAACAAAATAAGACGCCATTGTATATTGAGCTACACACACCGGGGTATGTTAGATAGATAGATAGATAGATAACTGGTTTATTAATGAAAAACATCATTGCGGCATAGCCGAATTGCAATGATTTTACAAATATTCCTTTTTTTTAAATGACATAAATACGTTTGTACAAATGTTTAAAATACATTGGGAAATATAAATTCAAAAACATCACTATAAGTAATACGCTAAGACACCGCGAGGGGCATGACGTCTCCGCGAGCCTTTGTATTCTATTGTTTTTTAATGAGATCGCCGACCGAAGTTGGTGCAGCTATCTCCTCCTGAACCCTCCCCTCGGGGTCCCGGTGCCCGGTGCCATCGTCCGGGGGAGAGTCTACTCTGTGGAATTGGATATACTCCGCCCGAGGTCCTCCTCCGTGTCGATGTCCACGGCGAAAACAGACATGATATGCGTGACGACAGAGATACCTCATGCATATTCAACATTACATCCGTATCAAAGAGACACACAACAGATGACCATCAACTCACATTATGTTGCGTATTAAATGCTTTATGCAAAGGGTTGGATTACCGTGAGTAAACCATCTTGCTATGGGATGTGCTTTGTACTAGCTGCACAGGCCAGAGAGATACACGGGGCTAATTCCCGTCGACGTCCAAACTTACAGACCTATTTCCATCATGATTGCCGCGATTTTTATACAGTTTTCGTGAATGGAGGTATGAAATCAAAGCTTATTTTGTGATTATTACGGCCATGTTTACTGAATTTTGATTATCATTTTCTAAAGGAAAGTTTTCACAAGAAAACCATTGAACTGACAGCTCAGTCGCAAGCTAACTTCAGTCAACACACGTACACAGTATACAGTATACACGGTGCTTTGACTGAGTGAGCTGCGCTAGAGTCGAAGAGTATGGGGGGCCAAGCAGGCCAATATTCGTACAACTATACAAGTACACATACGTCTATCCATCCATCAAAGAACCCGTCCACACAACAGCGTGCGGGCCGAAGTGCCATAAATTTGTTTCTTATATTTACAGTAAATTACAAGAAAGCATTAAATAAGGTAATGAATTGTACATTTGCATATTAATAGTTCAATATCAACCAGATTATCTTCATCACCATGAAGCGGCACTTTACTGGAAGAAGACAGTAGCATGTGACTTTATGCATTGCAAAACAGTCAGTTGCGTAATGAGTAAAATTGTTTGGGGGAGGGGGGGGGGGGGTGCAGAAAATAATCTGCATCACCATGCACCATTCTTGCATGTTACATGAAGGCTCCAAGAAACGTTTTTCAAAGTGGGGGGGGGGGGGGTCAGTTAGATCGCAGCGGGTTGAGTGTATATAGGCGGGGGTCCACGGGTTTCAAGGGGCTATAAACCCCGAAAGCTCAGGGGTTTTAGGCATTTAATTAGGGTCAGATGAGCATATTTTTAATACTTTATTTGTGACACTGGCAGGTCACTAATTGGCGTGGGGTCCATACGAAGATTTGCGTAGTGTTGTGTAACAACTACGCTGGCCTACGTTACTATATGCTGAGGGAGGCAAAGGGGTACGCAAGATGGACGCAAACAATTCAACATGTTTAATTTTTTCGTGTACTTTCGGCATAGAACATTTGCATATAATAGTTCAATATCAACCAGATTATCTTCATCACCATGAAGCGGCACTTTACTGGAAGAAGACAGTAGCATGTGACTTTATGCATTGCAAAACAGTCAGTTGCGTAATGAGTAAAATTGTTTGGGGGAGGGGGGGGGGGGGTGTGCAGAAAATAATCTGCATCACCATGCACCATTCTTGCATGTTACATGAAGGCTCCAAGAAACGTTTTTCAAAGTGGGGGGGGGGGGGGGGGGGGGGTCAGTTAGATCGCAGCGGGTTGAGTGTATATAGGCGGGGGTCCACGGGTTTCAAGGGGCTATAAACCCCCGAAAGCTCAGGGGTTTTAGGCATTTAATTAGGGTCAGATGAGCATATTTTTAATACTTTATTTGTGACACTGGCAGGTCACTAATTGGCGTGGGGTCCATACGAAGATTTGCGTAGTGTTGTGTAACAACTACGCTGGCCTACGTTACTATATGCTGAGGGAGGCAAAGGGGTACGCAAGATGGACGCAAACAATTCAACATGTTTAATTTTTTTTGTGTACTTTCGGCGTAGAAACTAGACACAGAAAGTACGCAACACTACGCTACTGTACGCCATGCCTACGCAACAGCACGCTACCCTACGCCAGATCGACAAAGCAGTAAAAGCTTTCCACACAGTAAGCAACCGTAAGCAAACCTGTACGCCAGCCTACGCATAACCTACGCAAGGACTAAAGTGAAGCAGTAAAAGCTTTCCACACAGTAAGCAACCGTAAGCAAACCTGTATGCCAGCCTACGCATAACCTACGCAAGGACTAAAGTGAAGCAACATTTTTCCATTAATATGCAGCCTAATTTATGTGTAGTCGGTACGCAACACTACGCAACTCTACGCAGTTACAGTGTGAAAGAGGCTTAAAGAATAACTACCGGTAGAGTTTTGTTTTTATGAATGGCAAATAAAGTTCTTGGTGGTTTTAATTTAGAGAGTCCCTATATATCTATTTACACCCCTCGCCCCCCTCTAGAATCCCGCGGATTTCCGCGGGTCCTGCTAGTATTGCATATATTCAAACTGCATCAAAAATTGATATTATTGTTATTATGACAATACTGTGGAGTAGTAAGATATAAGTTTAAAGTATGTTCGGCGTTTCAAGGGGGAACAAATGCCGTCCTTAATATCATTCCAGGGGTTTTTCAATTTGAAAGTCTGGTTTCTTTGATTGTTAATTAACCCCTATCCTGTGTATTTACAAGCAAAAGATTTTAGTTATCAGAATCGGTTCATATCTCCTTTTGAATGGTTTGACATGCCATTACATTTATATGACACTAAACTCATTATAATTTGAGAAATAGTAGCTTTGCAATTATATTCATTCTCTATGGGATGTCGTCTGCTTGGGCAGTGTTGGTCCATATAGTTACGTCATTAAAACATCGTTATTTTGCCGACGAATCTCTCGTATATCCCAGCTGCTATGGAGGTGGTTCTATTTGTATTTTTTATAAATCACCCGATATGTAGTTAACCTAAAACTTGTCCGATGGCCATCTGTTAGCTTACCAGTTTCTAGTGATACATTAGTTGACATATTTGTGATCTTCTTTGAATTTCACCTTTAACATGAATGTGTAAATGTAGTGTTACTGCCTTCAAACAGATTGGCTCATTAATATCATTTTTCTTCTAGGCAAATTTCAATTTAAAAAAACACGAAAATGCAAAACAAATATGTAATAACTGATATATTTTCACTGTTTTATCCTTTTTGTTAGGAAGGGGGGGGGGATGGGATACTTTTAGTATAGACTGCATCAAATCACCTAAAAATAAGAATGGATTTACACCCTATAAAAAACAACCTCTTCAAAATACACTATAATATCAAACTCTTACACATTCATTTGTGTACATTCTGTTTAGGATCACATTCACTAACTTCTTTTGTATATCGCTCTTACAAAGTAAAAAGCTGTCAAATGCGGTGCTTTGGCGAATATCTCTAATGATAGTAAACACGATAGTGTTGAGTTTCTTACCCTGTCAGAGTGATTGGTCCAAGGCCAATTTATTTCATGCACGATGCAGGGTTTGTCACTGCGTGCTTTTAAAAGTTTTACATTTTGTAGAGATGTTGTAGTCTAGTGGATAAGTCTCCATACTGTGCACCACAAGGTACAGGGTTCAAATTTCTGCCGCAGCTCTAAGCTTCTTTAGCAAGACATTTATCTACATTTGCCACACTCCACCAAGGTGTACCTGGCCAGATTTATTCCTTG